TTCTTTCTTTCTTTCTTTCTTTCTAACTAATCTTTCTTCTTTCTTTCTTTCTTTCTTTCTAACTAATCTTTCTTCTTTCTTTCTTTCTTTCTTTCTTTCTTTCTTTCTAACTAATCTTTCTTTCTTTCTAACTAATCTTTCTTCTTTCTTTCTTTCTTTCTTTCTTTCTTTCTTTCTTACTAATCTTTCTTCTTTCTTTCTTTCTTTCTTTCTAACTAATCTTTCTTCTTTCTTTCTTTCTTTCTTTCTTTCTTACTAATCTTTCTTCTTTCTTTCTTTCTTTCTTTCTTTCTTTCTAACTAATCTTTCTTTCTTTCTTACTAATCTTTCTTCCTTTCTTTCTTTCTTTCTTTCTTTCTTTCTTTCTAACTAATCTTTCTTCTTTCTTTCTTTCTTTCTTTCTTTCTTTCTAACTAATCTTTCTTCTTTCTTTCTTTCTTTCTTTCTTTCTTTCTTTCTAACTAATCTTTCTTCTTTCTTTCTTTTTTTTCTAACTAATCTTTCTTCTTTCTTTCTTTCTTTCTTTCTTTCTTTCTAACTAATCTTTCTTCTTTCTTTCTTTCTTTCTTTCTTTCTAACTAATCTTTCTTTCTTTCTTACTAATCTTTCTTCTTTCTTTCTTTCTTTCTTTCTTTCTTTCTTTCTTTCTAACTAATCTTTCTTCTTTCTTTCTTTCTTTCTTTCTTTCTTTCTAACTAATCTTTCTTTCTTTCTAACTAATCTTTCTTCTTTCTTTCTTTCTTTCTTTCTAACTAATCTTTCTTTCTTTCTAACTAATCTTTCTTCTTTCTTTCTTTCTTTCTTTCTTTCTTACTAATCTTTCTTCTTTCTTTCTTTCTTTCTAACTAATCTTTCTTTCTTTCTTTCTAACTAATCTTTCTTCTTTCTTTCTTTTTTTCTTTCTTTCTTTCTTTCTTTCTTTCTAACTAATCTTTCTTCTTTCTTTCTTTCTTTCTAACTAATCTTTCTTCTTTCTTCTTTCTTTCTTTCTTTCTTTCTTTCTTTCTTTCTTTCTTTCTTTCTTTCTTTCTAACTAATCTTTCTTCTTTCTTTCTTTCTTTCTTTCTTTCTTTCTTTCTAACTAATCTTTGTTTCTTTCTTTCTTTCTTTCTTTCTAACTAATCTTTCTTCTTTCTTTCTTTCTTTCTTTCTTTCTTTCTTTCTAACTAATCTTTCTTTCTTTCTAACTAATCCATATTTCTTTCTTTCTTACTAATCTTTCTTTTTTTCTACCTAATCTTTCTTTCTTTTTCTTTGTTTCTTTGTTTCTTTCTAACTAATCTTTCTTTCTTTCTTTCTTACTGATCTATCTTTCTTTCTAACTAATCAATCCTTCTTTCTTTCTTTCTAACTAATCTATCTTTCTTTCTTTCTGATCTATCTTTCTTTCTAACTAATCTTTCTTTCTTTCTTACTAATCTATCTTTCTTTCTTTCTTTCTAACTAATCTATCTTTCTTTCTTTCTGATCTATCTTTCTTTCTAACTAATCTTTCTTTCTTTCTTACTAATCTATCTTTCTTTCTAACTAACTAACTAATCTTTCTTTCTTTCTAACTAATCCATCTTTCTTTCTAACTAATTATCTTTCTTTCTTTCTATCTAATCTCTTTCTTTTTTCTTTCTTTCTTAATCTATATTTCTTTCTTTCTAACTAATCTATCTATCTCTCTATCTATCTCTCTATCTATCTACCTAATCTTTCTTTCTTTTTTCTTTCTTTCTAACTAATCTTTCTTTCTTTCTTTCTACCTAATCTTTATTTATTTATTTTTTCTAACTATTTTTCTTTCTTTCTTTCTTTCTTTCTTTCTTTCTTTCTTTCTTTCTTTCTAACTTTCTAACTTATCTATCTATCTATCTTTCTTTCTCTCTTTCTAACTAATCTATCTTTCTTTATATCTTTCTAAGTTATCTATCTATCTATCTTTCTTTCCAACTAATATATCTCTTTCTCTGTTTCTTTCTTTCTTTCTTTCTTTCTTTCTTTCTTTCTTTCTTTCTTTCTACCTAATCTTTCTTTCTTTCTTTTTTTCTAGCTATTTTTCTTTCTTTCTTTCTAACTTTTCTTTCTTTCTAACTGATCTATCTTTCTTTCTTTCTAACTAATCTTTCTTTCTTTCTGTCTACCTAATCTTTCTTTATTTATTTTTTCTAACTATTTTTCTTTCTTTCTTTCTTTCTTTCTAACTTTCTAACTTTCTAACTTCTCTATCTATCTGTCTTTCTTTCTCTCTTTCTTTCTTTCTAACTAATCTATCTTTCTTTATATCTTTCTAAGTTATCTATCTATCTTTCTTTCTAACTTTTCTTTCTTTCTAACTGATCTATCTTTCTTTCTTTCTAACTAATCTTTCTTTCTTTTTCTAACTAATCTTTCTTTCTTTCTACCTAGTCTTTCTTTCGTCCTAATCTTTCTTTCTTTCTTTCTAACTAATCTATCTTTCTTTCTTTCTAACTAATCTATCTTTCTTTCTTTCTTTCTTTCTTTCTTTCTTTCTTTTAACTAATCTTTCTTTATACATAATCTTTCTTTCTTCTTTCTTTCTAATCTTTCTAATCTTTCTTTCTTTCTTTCTTTATAACTAATCTTTCTTTCTTTCTTTCTTTCTTTCTAACTAATCTATCTTTCTTTCTTTCTTACTAATCTATCTTTCTTTCTAACTGATCCATCTTTCTAACTAATTATCTTTCTTTCTTTCTAACTAATCCATCTTTCTTTCTTCCTTACTAATCTTTCTTTCTTCCTAATATTTCTTTCTTTTTTCTTTCTTTCTTTCTTTCTTTCTTTCTTTCTTTCTTTCTTTCTTTCTAACTAATCTTTCTTTCTTTCTAACTAATCTTTCTTCTTTCTTTCTTTCTTTCTTTCTAGCTAATCTTTCTTCTTTCTTTCTTTCTAACTAATCTTTCTTCATTCTTTCTTTCTTTCTTTCTTTCTAACTAATCTTTCTTTCTTTATCTTTTTTTAAACTAATCTTTCTTTCTTTCTAACTAATCTTTCTTTCTTTCTAACTAATCTTTCTTTCTTTCTAACTAATCTTTCTTTCAGTGAAACCAATCTTTCTGTCTATCTAACTAATCTTTCTTTTCTTTTCTAACTAATCCATCTATCCGACTTCAAACTACTTTAAACTTCTTCAAAATCTCTGGTCCGGCTTTCTCAAGCCAACTTAAAGTTTGTCTCATCAAACTTTTTTCTAGTTCTTCTTATTCTTCTGACCCAAAATTTTCTGACTGCTACTCCTCCTAGAGCTTTAACTCTACAAACTCCAAACTCGGGTCAGACCTTCAGACTGTTCTGACTCGAGTTGCTATATCTTTTCAGACTGATTTGACTTTCAGATTTCTTAAAAATTAATATTAAAAACCATAAAAATCCCATTGACTTTCATTGCAACATGTTCAAATTGAGCCAAGGCTACGGTGGCCCAGTAGTGTACAACACAGAAACTCAAATCTAAACTCCCTGAAGCCCAAGACTCAATTAAACTACCATTCTATATGTACTAATCTATCTATCTATCTATCTATCTATCTATCTATCTATCTATCTATCTATCTATCTATCTATCTGTTACTAAATCTTTCTTTCTAACTAATCTATCTTTCTTTCTTTCTGACTAATCTATCTATCTTTCTTTCTTTCTAACTAATCTATCTTTCTTTCTTTCTAAGTAATCTATCTTTCTTTCTTTCTAACTAATCTATCTTTTTTCTTTCTAACTAATCTATCTTTCTTTCTTTCTGACTAATCTATCTTTCTTTCTTTCTAACTAATCTATCTTTTTTCTTTCTAACTAATCTTTCTTTCTTTCTTTCTAACTAATCAATCTATCTTTCTTTCTAACTAATCTAAATATCTTTCTTTCTAACTAATCTATCTTTCTTTCTTTCTAACTAATCTATCTTTCTTTCTTTCTAACTAATCTATCTTTTTTTCTTTCTAACTAATCTATCTTTCTTTCTTTCTTTCTAACTAATCTATCTTTCTTTCTTTCTAACTAATCTATCTTTCTTTCTAACTAATCTATCTTTTTTTCTTTCTAAGTAATCTATCTATCTTTCTTTCTAACTAATCTATCTATCTTTTTTCTTTCTAATTAATCTATCTTTCTTTCTGACAAATCTATCTTTCTTTCTAACTAACTAATCTATCCTTCCTTCTTCCTTTCTTTCTTCCTTTCTTTCTTTCTTTCTTTCTTTCTTTCTTTCTTTCTTTCTTTCTAACTAATCTATCTTTCTTTCTTTCTAACTAATCTATCTTTCTTTCTAACTAATCTATCTATCTTTTTTCTTTCTAACTAATCTATCTTTCTTTCTAACTAACACATCTATCTATCTTTCTAACTAATCTATCTATCTTTCTTTCTGACTAATCTATCTTTCTTTCTAACTAACTAATCTATCCTTCTTTCTTTCTTTCTTTCTTTCTAACTAATCCCTTTCTTTCTTTCTAACTAATCTATCTTTTTTTCTTTCTAACTAACTTATCTATCTTTCTTTCTTTCTTTCTTTCTAACTAACTTATCTATCTTTCTTTCTTTCTTTCTTTCTAACTAAACTATCTTTTTTCTTTCTAACTAATCTATCTTTCTTTCTAACTAATCTATCTTTCTTTCTTTCTAACTAATCTATCTATCTTTTTTCTTTCTAACAATCCATCTTTTTTCTTTCTAACTAATCTATCTTTCTTTTTCTGACTAATCTTTCTTTCTTTCTAACTAACAAATCTATCCTCCTTTCTTTCTTTCTTTCTTTCTTTCTTTCTTTCTTTCTTTCTTTCTTTCTTTCTTTCTAACTAAACTCTTTCTTTCATTCTAACTAATCTATCTTTCTTTCTTTCTAACTAATCTAACTATCTTTCTTTCTAACTAATCTATCTATCTTTCTTTCTAACTAATCAATCTTTTTTCTTTCTGACTAATCTATCCATATTTCTTTCTTTCTGACTAATCTATCTTTCTTTCTTTCTAACTAAACTATTTCTTTCATTCTAACTAA